GGAGTGTGGGAGCCATTTACGGTGAGGATTTCGGGTCAATGCGCATGTGGAAAATTTTAATTTCAAGATGAGTCATCAGTTTCTTTGAGAAATTTTGGATCAAATCGGACGTCATCATGGTTCACGAACATTTACAAAATCTTTGCATTTGTTGACTTTCACTGAATATTTAAAATCATATTTTCCAAAATAAGGAAAAATTACTTCAAGGCCCCAAAATCCAAAAATCAACGTGCCCCAGCCCCCCTATTTTTACCAATGTGCTGCAGCCACCAAAATTTGAAAAAAGTTTGCACCAGCCTCTCCATCATGACTCCATGTCATGTTTTCCCAATTTTTTATATTTTTTACCAAAAAATCCAATTTTACCCCTCCATCATGACTTCAACTCATGACTCCATCTCATGTTTTTCCTAACACGTTAACTACAACAGTTATCATGTTAACTACAACAGGTAACATGTTAACTATTATCGTTAACATGTTACGTGCTATGGATAACATGTTACGAACTTCCTCCAATTCTCGGGCTGAAACAAATCAGGCGCACATTCTCAGTCCCTATATCAAATACTAATACAGTTTTGAGTGAAAAACCCTACCTAAATAAGCCTTTGAAATATCCAAATGGTGGGATTTTTATCATAAACTTGTCATCTGATAAATGTTTGCATTATTCATCATAAAAATAAACAATTTTAACGATAAATATCAACAGTTTGTCAGATATTTCTACAAACATATGGTATAAAATCTTTCACATTCAATCAAACAAACTCAATAATATACAATAATACTGAAGATAATCCTAAGCTTAGGAACTTCTAAAAATTCAATCAAACAAACTCAATAATATACAATAATACTGAAGATAATCCTAAGCTTAGGAACTTCTAAAAATGCAAAATGAATTAACTAAACCATCTCTCAGAAATGTCATCAAACAGGTAATCCACACGCCAAAAACCTAACTTGACGAAGACTCGTCAGCAAGCCAACGACAATAATGAAACAAACATGAGGGGTTTCAACAACGGAGGGCTTCGTGAGGCCGAGCGTTGCCTGCACAGTAAACCTCCTCGCCATTAAAACCCTCCCACCAAAGCAAAATCGACGAGAAAAAAAGGACATGTCGGCTCTGCAAACCTCACGAAGCAAAGGGTGGAGGAGAGAGCAACGGTTGCAACGCCAGTCGCCATTGCCATCGGGGGGTTTTATAGCGGCCCCTAGAGTTTGTTAGGGGCGTCGAGGAAAAAGGGTAGTTAACATGTTAACTATTGAAGTTAACAAGTTAACTATTATAGTTAAGATGTTAACTATAATATATAAACTGATAACTATTATAGTTAACATGTTAACTATTATATATAAATAACAGTTAATAGATTACAAATAACAGTTAAAATATAATGGATTATAGTTAACAGTTTACTGAATATAGTTATCAATTTACCAATTAAAGTTAACATGTTACGTATTATAATTAACATGTTACGTATAATAGTTAACAGATAATGATTAATAGTTAACAATTTACATATAACTATCTGTTAATAGTTAACATGATAAGGGTGTTAGTTAATGTTTGTGGAAAAATTTGTAGTCAGTAAAAGAAATGAAAAAAAATTGATTTGTATTCCTTTAATCTCAGTTACAATTAGATTTTCTGATTACAAAAGAGAGGAGAATAAATTTGATTCTCCCCTTTGTTTAAAACTGGGTTCTTCTTGATAGCGATGGAGTGCCTCCTTCGAATGCTTGCGTCGAATTTGCTCTTCATTAACGATCTGATCGTCTTGTCTCACGGGAACGATTAACTTGTATGACAAGTTTGATTTAGAACTTTTAGCGAGTTTAAGAACTCAGAATGAGTTGAAAACTCTGAAAAGAGTTGTTGAGAACCGAATAATCGATTGGTGTAATTAACTCGCGTTGCAAGTTTAATTAAGAACTCTTAACGAGTTTAAGAACTCAAAGCGAGTTAAAACTCTGTAACAGAGTTGTTAGAACCGAAAATTCGGTTAATAGCCAAGTAGATTTTCTGTTGTTGAAGGATTCTTCGAGATTTGATCTTCGAAATCTGACTGAAATCTTCGATCTCCCAAGGGTTCGACCTTGATCTCCAGAAGATCCAACCTTATGTGGTTTTCGATCTCCAAATCTTCAACCACTAGTGGTTTGATCTCCCCCAAAATTCCAGCCCTGTAGGACATTGAAGAGAACTTGTTTGAATAAGTTTGGAACTCTAGCCGAGTTAAGAAACTCTTTTGAAAGAGTTAATTTCAGAAAGGATTAATAATCCTTTTAGCCAAGAATGATTGATCAGTTGTTAATCAGAAGAACTTGCTAAGCAAGTTTTAAAACTCTGATCGAGTTAGGAAAACTCTAAAAAGAGTTGATGATAACAAAGCAAGTTCAATCATTTCAAAATGGTAGCTGATCTCTTTCTCTCTTTGGCTGATCTCAAAAAAGTACCGCCAGTCCTCTATAGGTTCGGTAAAACCTCCATATCTTCAAATCTAACCAATAGAAACCAAGATCCACCATTCAGAATTAGTAACAATGAGCGTAGTAGCTACCCTCCAAGTTTCACGTCGATCGGACCACGGATGAGGGTCCGATCATCACGCCGATCACTGTTGTGCAAAAGTGACTTTTCTCTGCACTCCTGGAACAAACATCTTCGGTAAAACCTTCATATCCCCAAATCTATCCGATAGAAAGAAATCTCCACCGTCCATAATTAGGAACCACGAGTGTAGTAGCTGCTCTCTAAATTTCACGTCGATCAGACCACGGATGAGGGTCCGATCATCACACTGATCACTGCTGTGCAAAAGTGACTTTTCTCTGCACTCCTGGAACGATTAGCTTCGGATAGAAAGCAATCTCCATATCTCCAAATCTAACCGATAGAAAGCAATCTCCACCGTTCAGAATTAGGAAAGACGAGTGTAGTAGATACCCTCCAAATTTCATATCGATCGGACCACAGATGAGGGTCCGATCGTCACGCCGATCACAACTGCGCAAATGTGACTTTTCTTCTCCTCTCTTGTTCTCTCTTTCTTTTATTTTTCGTCCAGCCCTTTGCCACCAGCCCTATTTTGCTGTGAAAACTCCCTATTTATAGGGGTTTATGGGGTATAACTACCCCCTTAATTAGCTCCATAATGGAGGTTAATTACCCTATTAAGTGGAGGACCGTTTCAAGGATTTGAAATGGTCAAACGCGACCTTCGTGTTGAAGAGATTGTCAATTATAATCTCTTTTTTTTCAAACTTTTGTGAGGATCGTCAGATTGTAATTCTTACATTTAGCTATTGATAATATGAGAGTCGTCAATTTGTAACTCCTGATGTTGATTGTGAAGGCTGTTGAATTAGAGCTTTCATCAGTTGTTGTGAAGGTCGTCAGATTGTAACCTTCATCGATCTACGTGAAAGTTTTTAAATTATAGCCTTCTGAAAGCCGTCAAATTATAACTTTCATCATCGATGTTTGATGAGGATTAGCTATCTGTTGTGATTTTTAGACAGCCTACAGTTAACAGATTATATATAACAGTTAACAGATAATCCCTCCATTGAAAGTTATACATCAATAACATAGCAACATAAACTGTAACTTTATAACAATAAAAACATAACGCAATCAACCAATCTCTTTCTCTTCATCTCTTCCCAATAACACTAACATCTAGAAGCAAATCAAAGCAAAAACCACAATGCAACATCAAACTTCACCAAAAAAGGTCAAAAATTAAGAAAAATCCAACCCCAAAAAAAATCCCCAAGGCCTCGCGTGTGAAAAGGCTATAGTCCACGTCAACGACGGCGATCTAATGGCCGGCGGAGGAGGAGGCGTGA